CAACAAATTTTCTTTTTGATAATGGAACATAGCTTGAGGTTCTTTTTACACCTGCACTTTTCTTTTTATCAACTGTAAGAGACGAAACAACTTTTATTTTTTGAATTTCTTTTCTTTCTTTTTCTAAAAAGATTTGTTCATTTTCGTTTGTACTTTCTTTTTCTTTCACTTAGTCTTTTATTTCTCCGACATAGTTTTCATTCACTTTCTTCGTTGTCAAATTTGTAGTATTCAAAATATCAACACATGTTGGTTCTGAATCAAGCTCGTATAATTTTGTCCAATTATATCCATTGATAACTTCAACTAAATTGTTTTCGAATGATTCTTTTCCGGAGCTTTGACTGTAGTAGTTTAATGTGATATAAAACAGTCTTGTTGGTCTATTACTGTAATGATTTTTACCACTGTCCATTTGTTTTATTTTTTTCAATTGAAGTGCTTCCAAATTCATCAAGTTCAACAACAAAGTCTCAACTGTTGGTTTTTTGGTACTTATTCTTTTTACAAGAGCCGAATGATAACTTTCGGATAAATTATCAGTCCTGACTTGTTGATCAAATTGGCACCAAAGATCGATTGGATATTTATTCAACCAAACATCTTCAAAATAATTCAAAAAGTCATCTATTTTGATCTTTAGTTCTTTATCAATTTCACAACTTTCAGTTTGTTTTTTAATGTCATCGTACTTATCAATTATTTCGCTTGCTTTATAAAATGCCAAAACTTTCAATTTTGACATTGTTTTCCAAATAGTAGTACCAGGATAATAATAACTCGAAAGACCAATTCTTTGTAGTGCTCTCCACAAGCACTGAGTGTAATGAAAATAACACCCATGCACACAACAACCTAAATCTGACAAAATATTGATTACTGCTGTTTCAAAGTTTATCATGACACTAGTATTTTTTGTGAGTAATTGATGATTCCAAACAGAGAAAAAGTAGGAATTGATTACACTAAACATTTCGCGGTAATCACTTTCTCTTCTTTTAGACATTAAACAATGAACTAATGTATAACACTGTCCTTTTGATAACAATACGTGAATAGTATATAATTGTTCGTAATCATTTGGGCACGAACTAAACGTTCCATACATTAACACATATGCAATTTGTCGATCCTTCATTTCAACCACTTTTTCAATTGATATAAAAATAAAATATTTGTCTTCGTCGACTACATGATACTTACCACCACACAACAATTCGTTTAACTTTTCTTCAATCATACAACTTTTTAATTTATTGATTGTTCTTCTTATTGTTGTATTTCTTCTTGAATCTTTGATAAACAATTCTTCGTGTTGTTCTATCAATTTAGAAGCAAAATCAACAAATTTGATTCAACCATCTCTTTCAACTTTATGGAGTTGGTGTTCACTGTTTTTTTGTCGTGAGTGTGTCGTGTTTTGGTTTTGTCAACAAAATCATATTCAATGTATTTGAAGTTGTCATTTGAACCTTCCGTCCGTGTGATTTTAATTTTCACTTCGCAACTGCAGCATTTAAATATATTTCTGTTGCCATTTTGTGGATAAAATGGATAACCATCAACTAACGGTATAAACTTATATGTACCATCTTTACACTTTTTTTGACTTTTCATTTGTGTCAATTCTGGATGAAAGTCCATGACTACTATATTTTAATGTTTGCTTAAATAATATAATGAAAATAAATATACTTTGAATGTCAAGTTAAAAACATATTTTTAGAAACAATATTATATAATTATATACATGACTTATTATTAACACGATATTTTTGTTTGAAACGTATCATCGATTTGTTTATATATATTAATTTTAGTTCTGTAAATATAATATAATTTTTCAATATTAAATCGTTGATTTTGAAACATAAAAAAATATTATAGCAACAAAATAATACTCGATTTTTATATACTGGTATTTTAAATAATTTAATAGTCAAATATAGATTAAAGACCAACATGATTTTTATATATTTATATTAGATTTAGTTATATTGAAACACAATTATATTTTTAACATATTGTTTTAATTTATAGTATTTATATTTTAAATAAAAACAAAATAATGATATAAATTTTAAAAATGTTTGAAATTACTAAAATTATGTAAAATGTGTGTATTTTTAAATTTGATGTTTTGTGTTATTGTTTGTTTTTACTTTTTGTTATGGTAAACATCGAATTGACTTATTAATAGAAATGTAAATCAAAATTATTGTTTATTTTTATTTTAAGTAACAATTGAACTATTGTTGAAAAAAATTGTACCTTTATTTGTAGAATATTATTTTCAAGAATATTTTATGCAAAAATATTTTTGTGCAAGAATATTTTGCCACTCAACCTTGATACTCACCGAGTTGCACAATAACCTTTGACTCCCTCTGAACTATATTTTAAAAAGTCTTCAACATTTTCGAGTTTATTCACGATAGAAAGACGAAATTTAATCGATTTGAAAACTGCTCAATGTTCGCACATATTTTTAATAATAAGATTTAATTTGTGGCAACTGCAGTGAACTCTGTTACATTTGACACCAAGAGTTTTCATATAATTAACAAAAACACCCGCGAACCCATTCACACCCACTACATTTACACCACCATCAGTTGTTACGTTTCTTATTTTTGTATTTTTATTCCATTTTTTTCGAGTCTTTTCATAACTTCTTCGAATATATCTTGGCCGGTTGACTTTTTCAAGTATAAATGCTGAAACCAAATATTCAAAAACTTCAAAATAAGCGGTAACAAACCTCATAATCACCAAATTATACTTTTTCTTGGAAACTTTGCTTTCATCAAGCTGTAACCCAACATAAACAGACTTTTTTTTGAAAGTGCGGCAAAAATATCTTTAATGTTCTCAGTTGTTGTTTGGTTTCTTTTCAGAGTAGAATAACTTGCGTGTATATAGTTGTCAAATAGTTCTCCATTTTGTTGCTCAAATCTCTAAACTTTTTGCATGAATCAACAATTTCGTTTCCTTTTGTTAGGGGAATATGATTTTCGCTCAATATTATTGTCATTTGCATTGTAAATTCTTTACAATCTTTGACAATTTCCTTCGATTTTTCTTTTTTATTAACACATTCAAAACTTTCTTTTTTATTATAACAGTCTCTACCTTTTTCATAAGCCACTGAAATTCTTGAGAGAGTTTCTTTATTGAATGTTGAATAATATTCTTCAAAATGTGAAGATGCAAAGTTGTTTGTAATCACTTTATTACAAATTAAACAGGTAAAAGTTGTGTAACCTTCGGGTACAAAAAACATTTCTTTAGTCCATTTTTTTCTTCTTTTACTGGGAATTGTACAAGGTGCTTTTGGTCGAAACATAAATTTGTTTAAATTTATCGAATTTTAAAGTTGATACATCAATTTTTAACAATTCGAAATTTGGTAAATTTTGGTTAAAAATATTTTTTTTTTCAAAAAACACAAAAATACAATTGCCGATTTTATTATTGTTTCGAAAAATTTAACAATAAATCATCAAACTTAAGAGAAAGGATGGACATGGGGACGAAGGACGGGAATATAGGCCGAAGGACGTCCTTTGTGGTTTAGGGACGTCCTCCCGCTATAAAGGATGTCCTCCCTGTGTATATGGTGTCCTTTCTATTATTTTCGTGTCCGCGGCATTTTTTATTCATTATCGAAACTATATAACGAAGTATATTTTTATTATAAATATACAATCAAAAAATATAATTATTTCCAAAAATAAATTAATTCAAAGACAAAAACTATTTAACAAGTAATTTTGTTATATATTATTGGTTTATAAAAAATTATCGTTTTTTTTTCATTTTACCATTTAGTTTTCTTTGAAAAACTAATTAAATTTGCATTTTTAATAAAAACCAATAATTTATAACAAAATTACTTGTTGTTTAACATTTGTCTTTGATTAATTTTATTTTTGGAAATAATTATATTTTATAATAGTAAATTCATAGTAATATTATAACTCATTATATAGTTTTAAAAATGCCGCGGACACTAAATAATAGAAAGGACACCATATACACAGGGAGGACATCCTTTATAGCGGGAGGACGTCCCTAAACCACAAAGGACGTCCTTCGGCCTATATTCCCGTCCTTCGTACCCATGTCCGTCCTTTCTCTTTATTAATTTTTTAAGATTTTTGTTTTTTGTTCATTTTTGAAGAATTTGAAGTAAATAACTTATAATTACTTATTCTATTATTTGGAATAATTATGTTTTCAAGAACAAAAAAATTACTATTAAAAATGGTTTTGAATATATATTTAAATGGTAAATAATCGATGGTGTGGGTATTTTCGAGTAAAAAATGGAGACGCTTGTTGGTAACTATGTGTGTGAATATTAAAAAATATATTTTTAACATTTAAAACAACGCTCTTATTTTTGTTTTGGCCTGTTTTTACAGGGATATTAATCAAATTTTTGATGATTTTCCTTTTTTGGCTTGTGTATTGTTTATGCACATTATACAATCTCTAAAAAACGGAAATTTATTTAATAAACTCGAGATATCCCGATTTTTAGACCACTTGAATTTTGTTCAATGTTATTTAAAGTGTTAATACTAAATACAATTGTTTAAATATGAATAATTTTAAAGAAAAATAAATCATTTTTTTTGTAACCACTTTTTTTAACATAAAAATTAATTAATTAATTAATTATTTTTTTATATTTATAATTATTTGACACGCATTTCTAATCTTTTGTTACACGTTCTTAATTATTTTATATGTGTTTTTGACTTTAAATAATTATTTTCAACCCAAGAATTTTGATGAATCTCCAAGGTACATCAAATCTCCACCTTAAAAAAAACAATAAACAATAAATAATAATAATGAAAACTATAATTATTAAGTTTATTTTATAGAATGCAAGTTTATCATTTAAAATAATTTACTTATAAGTTGAAGCATAATCGCCCAAAAAAAACTTTGATTTTTAATTTTTTAAACTTCAAAACGAAAATAAACAGATGGACATTTTGACGAAGAAAGAAAAGAAAGTGACAATCAAAGTTTCAAGTAACGCAAATCTTCTTCAATTAACAAAAGCGCTTTTCATGTCCATTCCAGAATTTAATGAAATGTTTTCAGGAAATTATGAAAAGCTTTTTTCTACAAAAACAGGTGCACAGTTTTGGGAAGTATTTATATCGATGATGTGGCGATTCTATAGGAACAAAAGCATTTCTTATAACACGAAGAGAAAAGTTTTCCAACAAGTTCGGTTCGACCAAGTCATTTTATCTCCAATGTTTGTTTTTTGACTCGTTAATTATTTTTACAATTTAACGTTTATTTTAATTTTACCGAATAATAAATATAATGAGCTGTTTTTTATAAATTTTAAGCAATTTTTTCACACCTCGTTAATTTTTATTGTAATAAGATCCAAATTGCAAACAATTTTACCTCGTTAAAAACTCATTATACAAATAAATAAACTCGTTAATTATTATGAATGACTATTAGTGACTTTGACTCTGTTGAGCAATTTATGATGAGCTTTGGTTCCGGTAAATTATTTGACAAGCGCTTTTTCTTAGGTCCTGACGATCCCGATGTGTTCGATGTCTTTATGCATTGGTTGGAGTATTACGACAACAACCAATTGATGACTGTGGAGCAGTTTGCAGACCCGTTTACCTTTCCACAACGTTATAACCTACGTAAAAAGTTACTTCTCTTACTTTCCAAAGCAGACCAACATACCTTACAAACGTTTCTCAGTCACATTGGAAGAACGCCCAATGAAGCAGATTGGGATATTCAATTTGATGTCAACAAATTGTCGCTTGAGGAAGTTAAAGAGCTTCTCAAGCTCTTAGAATGACGTGTATTTGACTCTTACTTATAAGTAACTATTAACTATAAATTAATACTAATAAATTACTAATTTAAGTCATTAGCGGTGATAAGACTAAAGAAGTTTGAAACAATCAATTATAGCACTCTCACTTGGTATTAGTAAACTTCCAAGCATCAGGACAATCCTTTGAGATATGTCCATACTTCCCGCACTTGTAACAAGGTTTGTCTTTGGGCTTTTCTTTTGGGATGACTTCTTCCTTTATAAAAGGTCTTCGCTTTTGAGTAAAATTAGTTCGGTATTCATCGAACTGTTTGTCGCTCCATCTCCCACAACTTTCATTGTGTGAAGACTTCTTTTCTTGAGGACCATCGTCGGAAGGTGCCGTCTGATACTTTTCATCTAATTTCCCATTTGTGTATTTCCACGCATCAGGACAATCTCTCCCATTATGCCCAGTATTCCCACATAAATAACACCCGGCGCCCTTCGATTTTTTTAATTTCTTTTCTACGACCAATTTCTCTTCTTGCGAGTCCTTTTTATTAAATTTCTCCTCTTGTGGTTCAGACTCAATTTGTTCTTTGTCGGTGTGGGATACCCCGTCGTGATATTTCCAAGCATCTGGACAATCCCTCCCTATATGGTCGAGACTCCCACATTTGTAACACCCAACTTGCTTAGTCTTCTTCTCTTTAACCTTCTCAATTGACTTCTCTTGAACGGGTTCGTTCTCTTGAAACTCTTTAGAACCATTTTCATGTGTAATTTGCTCTTTCATCTTCTCATCATATTTCCACGCGTCTGGACAGTTCTTTGCGATGTGGTCAGAACTGCCACATTTGTAGCATTGTTGGTCGGTGTGGGGGTCTTCTTCTTGTTCTTCATAGTACTCCTCCTCATTAGTTCCTTGATGGTTCTGTTTATTAGTATTATAGTATTCTTCTCGTTGGGGACATTTATTCGAGAAATGGCCACTCTCCCCACATATAAAACACTTTCCTGCTTCTTGTGAGTTTGGGCAGTACTTTGTAGTGTGTCCAAATAGACCGCATGTGTAACATTTCATCGTCTCGACACTCTCTTGTTGCGACTTCTTCTCCTTTTTCTGTTGAGTACTCGCCTTCTTCCCAGTGGACAGCTGTAACGTGATTTTGTTCTCCCCCATCGTGTCGTTGTTCAGGCGATTCACAATGTTCTCAGCATCACTCAACGTCTTGAATGTGAGAAACCCATACCCCTTTGTACTCTCGGTCGCATGTTTGATTATACGAACTTTGTCGACTTTGTAACCCTCAAAATGCTTGAAAATGCTTTGAACGGTCGCTCCTCGAGGTAAATTCCCGATAAAAACATTCACCTTTTGACTGTGTTCACCTTTTTGCTGGGGTTGTCCTTTGGAATTTGACTTGTTTTGTGGTGTGCTCATCTGGTCTATTACAGTTCAGTGGATATGTCGAAGGTTAATACAACTAGGTTATTAATTAACACAATTTTTTATTTTTTTGTCATTTAATTAACGAATTTATTTTATTTAATTTTTATATTTATTGTTGGTATATTTAACGTTATTATGTCGGTATGTGTTTGTTAATTTGTTTTTTTGTTAAATAAATATTTGACTTTAATTTCAAAATTATATTTAACATCCATATTAAAATACAATTTTAATAAAAATTGTATTTTATTTAACGAGTTGTTTTGTTGTTGGAATAAAACTTTTAATTTATTATATTTTATAATAAAAAATACCATTTTTTAATTATTCGATAACAATAAGTAAAAATATAACATTTATAATTAAAAATATACTATACAATACTAATATATTATAATAACTGATTTCTAATTCTAACAGATTTCCATATAAAAATCAATTAAAAAAAGTTAAGCATAATTGAACATTATAACTATATTTTATTATTATTTTATTATAATTTATGGTTAAAGTTGTAAACTAATTAACAACACTTTTAAGAAAACAAAAGCTATAAGTATAATTTACTTTTCTATTTTTACAAAGTACTTGAAGATTCCCACTATTTGTTGGTGTTGAGAAAAATAATACATGTGTATGATCGTTTACAGATAACAACAAAATCACTGAAGACT